ATATATATATATATATCATATTATTAATTATTTTACTGCTTACTCTCTATATTTTTCAATAAAATACCTAAATTTCATTATTTTTTAACGATGGATTAATAAATTGATTTTTCGCAAACCTTTTCCGCAGGTTCTTCATCATGTATTTGGTGGAGGAGTCCGTACATACGTACCTGAGGAAGAGACAAGTAGAGCGACAGATAACCGACAAGAAAGACATAAATCGTAGCACTAACGAATTGGTAGAAAACGGCCAGGTGACACCGTCATGCGTCAGCAACCACGGTCATTCGCATACGTAAGCCATTTTTTTCTCAGCCCAAAAAATATCGATTTTCATCGGTGGTATCGACACTTCGCGAGCGCGAAGAAAATTTCACACAATCTTTTAATTTACAGGGGTCACAGCCATTTACCTGTGATAACAAACGACGACGACGACTTTGTGATAAGTTCGCTGCGAGGATTATTAATAGTACTCGGCTTATCCGTGCACGAATTATTCGAGGGACTTGCAATTGGTCTAGAGAGCTCCGCGAGTCACGTATGGTAATTACTAATTACTCCTTGTGGGATATATCTTTAATTGCGATTAAGAGGATGCCGGACCGTCCTGTTTTACCGGCCATAATAATTATATATTTGCTTAATATAAGGGTTTTGCGGTGTGTACGTGCAAAATAGGATACCTCTCCACTCGGAAATGCATGAAGGAATATAAGTGAACGTTTGAAAATGTATTTGAAAGCCTAGTGAGAAACATTTCGGTGTGCAAAATGTTGCATAGTAAAATCTTTTTTATAAAGCTTCTAAACTCACTTCTCGAAGTTCACTAATACTCTTTGATAAAATGCCGAGTGCGGAGTTCACTTGTTAGGCACGTGCAGGTTGCAGGTTTTTTATATTAAGTAAATGTTGACGGCAGAAGCCGATAACAAAACTGTTATTTTTTAATTTTTTTTCACTTTTCATATGAAATCATAAACCCCGCACTCCGTTATTATGTATACTTTAATTATGGAAAAGGATTTGTTGATATCTATAATCAACAAAAATATTTTGCAATCCTACTAATATTCGCATTCTGTCGGTATCCAGCATCCTCTTAAGTCTGAAACTAAATTATAATTCTAACAATTAAAAAAAAAAATATAATTGTGATTTAAAAAATTATAATTATAATTATTAAATTATTATAATTGATGTTGATCGAACGATTCCGCAGGTACATGTTCCTCGCCGTGGCGTCCCACAAATTCGTTATAGCCTTTTGCATCGGCGTAGAGTTGCTCGCTTCCCGAACCAGACCGTATCTGTCAATAATTTACACGTGCACGTTCGCCGTGGTGTCACCGATAGGAATCGGCATCGGAATGGCTCTAGTTGGCGGTGGAAGCGCGGCTGCCAGTGGACCAATGGCTGTGATATTACAGGCAAGTCGACTTTTTTCAAGTACCACCGTTTGAAGAATATCGATTTAAGATAAAGAGTATCAAAGATTTAAAATAACTGATAATTATCAGCGTATGTTTTTAAAGAAAAAATTTCGAGTAATCGTTGAAATATGTATTTATCTGTGGATTAATCGAATAATAAAAATTACATAATGTATGAACTTGAGAGAAAATATACTTATCTTTGAATTTCTCCTCGCAGGGATTGGCATCGGGCACTTTGCTCTACGTAGTGTTCTTCGAGATTCTGCAGGAGCATCGAACCGGACTGGGACAATACATCTCGATTCTCTTCGGTTTCCTCGTAATGTTTGGTCTGCAGATGTTAAGTAAGTAGAGACAATTTTATCTTATACTAATTTTTAGCACGGTTTTCCTTCAACGATAACAGTCGGAACATAAGAAATAAAATATTTAGCGCGGTAAAAATAAATGCTCTATCTCCACGCTTTCTTTGATCTATATTTGCACATTCTTCGAACGAATAGTCTCTTTGAATGAATAAACATGAGAATTTTTATAGATAAGAATATTACATATTGGAAAGTAATCAAGTTACGATAAATAATGAGTATAAGAAAGATACATAAATATTTGTATGCATTTGATGAAAAGTCGAATATACATTTGATCTTTCTTAGAACGCACATAGTCTCTCGGAAAAATCAGAATACGATACGATAAAAAGATTAGTTGCTAAGCGAAGAAAAGCGATAAGATGCTAAAACAGTAGTTATCGATCACGTAATTGATAATCACTCAACTTTACGAGCTTTCAATTAAGGTCGATTTCGACCGATGTGGAGATTTTTTTTGCTCTACTAATAGGCACAATATTCTTTTCTTCCCCTAAAACAAAATATGCATATATCAACAATTTAGAAAAATCTTAAAAATATATAAAAATACATTTTATATATAAACAAATGCGAGAATGGACGATTGAAAATAAAGAGAATGCGGGGAAAACGGGAAAGCTTCGAATCTTGAAAATGAGGATGATGTTTCGAGCATGTAGCCGAGGTCAAAGGTGATGGTCGGTACTTATCGATTGTCAGCGAGCAATTAATTACTAGTCAACAGTCACTTATCACGATGCTCTTTCTCTCTCTCTCTCTCTCTGTCTATCAAAAGGGAGAGAAAGAACGATGCGCACGTCGAGGCCAACGCAGGCCAACGTTCGAAATGTCGAGCGTCGCAAATTAGTCGCATAGGAAGAGAGGGGAAGCAGAAGAAAGAGGGACAGAGAGAGAGAGAGAGAAAAGAGAATGTGGCACGCGATATGCAGAGGACATCCTGTCGATGATGATTCACAATGCGAGACACAATTCTCGTAAGGTTGACTTGAAAAAGTTCACCTCGCCAGAAAATATAGCCGTTATTTTTTTTGTCCATTCTTGAGTAATCCGGAGGGGGAGGGTTTCCTTCGAGCGATCCTTCATGCTTCGCGATCGTGTATGAGAAGGGGGAGAGAAAAAAGAACCCTGAAAACTATCGCGAAAGTGAATGGCAAGGCTCGTCGATTATTATTTCTTTATCGGCGTAATTGACAACATACGTATACACACATACACAGGGGGAACACCCGCGGCTCGTGCCGTCGATCGAGATCTCGAAATCACGAGATCGTTCCACGGCTCGTTGAGCACTATACGATTTACAATCGACATTCAATGTTTAATGGTGCGTCCGAAATCGAGCGGCGTGAATCCTCTCGCTTTTTCGCGCGCAGAAGGGTGAAAGTATCGCGGAGCCTGATGAATAATCACTTGGTGGCGTGATCGTGTCGCTGGCCCACATCGCTAGACTAAATTCACGCCTTTTGCTTCGAAAGCGACCAACGTGCCTCTTACATTTTCTCATCCGTGTCTTGACACGCTGTGAAAATTAGATAGGATTAAATTGAAAGGAGAAATTTATTTACATAAAACTGAAATTAATCTTCCACAAAGTCGAAGGGTTGATCCGAGAATCTTCCAATTTCTTCGCTCCATCATCCTTTAATCTTCGTCTTCCTCGTTACACTCTTGGAAGATTTATCTTCCAATCGGCGATGCAAATGTTTATTACGACGTGACGTAAGTGACGTTAGCACGCGTGTCCCCCCCCCCTCCCCCCGCTCGCGCACGTAGACGAGTATCGTCGACAATTTCTTTCATTCACGCATCCACGCGTATGTATTGTACACGCGCCTACGCACAGACGCCCGCGTCCGCCGCGGAGGGAAAATGCGTTATGCGTTGCCGTTCGTCAGGCATAGAATAATTGCAGCGATGTAACCGATGTTTAAGGTGCCCCATCCTGCGAAAGGTGAAAGAGCAGGCAACTCGAAAGATTGTTCACCCTTTGTTATGAGCGATAAGATCGTTGGAGTTAAATTTAAATCACTGATAAAGTTTTCGTTGTCGATATTGATCTTCTTTCATTCCTCTGTCAATCAACATTGATACGTACATCGTTAAACACTATCGAAGAAAGCAGGGCATAAATATAGAAAGGATGAATGTCGCCAAGATGTGCAAATTCCACATCCATCGTATATCTTCATTCCTTCATTTTCAATCTCTCTCGCTCTTCGTTCTCACTTCATTCTAGTTCTACTCCCTCTTTTTCCCTCATCTTATCATCTCTTTTCTTATCTTTATTTCGTTTCTGTTTTTCTTTCCCCGTTCTCTTTACCTTTCCCTCTTGCACTCTGACACGGACCTCCTCGGCCCTCCCTTCTGCTCGGGGTCCACCGTTGATTTTACGCCACTGAGCGATCAGTCACCGTCCAGGTGCTAGAGCGAGCGTGTACACGCCAGTGGACGATGGATGGATAAGGACGGGACGTAGCTGTCGCGGGAGTGGGCAGGAAGCCGCTCGGCTCGGACTATGTAAGACGACGAGGCGGCGGCCGAGGGATCCGATCGAGCCGAGTTCTCGTCGAGTCGAGACCGGAGTAGATAGTGTCTGATCGGCCGTCGCGGCGCGTGGATTTCCCTCGCTCGGCTCGCTTCGAACGGGAGAATCGTTCGTCAGTTTTAGCCGACGATATTGTCCGTGCCGTTGGAAAAGTTTGTCGAAAAATCGGGGAACGGAGCGTGAGATGACAAGACTTGTCGTCGACAGGGGAGGCGCGAAGGAGAGAGGTGGTGAAGTGGTGACGAGATAATCGGCGTAGTGCAATTGCGAAATTCTTTAGCAAGAGACACTCACAGACTGAACTTGAGTTATTTCTGTCGAGATAAAGTCTTGATTATATCGTTATCACATCTTGAAAAGATGTCCGATATGGAAGAGAACACGACGTCCAGCGTCCTCCTGATGTCAAAGATCGGCGCGATGATCGGTCTCGGTTTAGGTTCTCTGGTGCTGGGAACCCTGCCGTTGATAGTGGGACGTTACAGGGCCAAGAAAAGACTTCGAAAACACTCTCGGCCGATCTCCTCTGATCGTTCCAGCACGTCAACTTCGGCATCTTTGCCGGGCGTTGACTCGACCTCCGCGGCGAATAAACAAGTACGTTTGAGAAAAACCGAGCGGAAATCCTCTCGGATGAACCGCCAATTCTTTTTGATCGATTCGCAGCATTTCCGGATATTTTATCTTTTTGCCGACTCGACTCGCTTAAGAAATGTCGAGCAAACACGTTGCTCTCCGGTCGAATTAGCGGGAAAATAATCGACGTAACGGAGATACACTCAGTGGACGTCCTTGGATATCTATTCTCGACAGCAGCGGATATCCTTGGATATTCATTGGATATTTATGCGCTGCACGGGTTATTTTTCCGCTAATTCAAGCTTACGATTTTGAATTCGTGAATATCAATTAATTCTGCATCAAATATTTTGCGGGTATATATTATGATTTCAAATTAGCGCATAATGTAAACACGTTTGTGGAGCGGCACAGAAACTATTATATTTGATCGAAATCAGAAATAGAAAAAAATGATATTTGTAAATAATGTAAGATTGATGTTCGATCATGAAGTAATCGCAACACATCCGGAATAGCTGCTGATTGATATACAGAGTGCTCGGTATTTTACAATCTGCATCTACGGATTCTCTAAACTATCTGGAATTATTCGATTTTTCTTAATTATTTGGCTACAAATGCCATATATATATATACACCTAATTAGAACTGATAGCAGTGAATGCAAGTAAAATTTTAAGTAAACAATCCATTGACCTTTTCGTAACCTGTGTAACGGATTATTATTTCAATTAATATAAAATATTATTATTTTATATTGATTAGTATAGAATTAATAAGAAAGAAAGATAATAAATGTTCTCTCTCTCTTGAATAGACAGTATTGTATATTGTAATTATAATCATACGTTCCTGTATCATTTGTTGACGAGAGATTTGTTGACAAAATTGCAGAAAAATAATTTTACTCTGTAAGCAAGAGATTAACAAATATATTGAAGTGTGTATATATATATCAGTATTTATATAAAATACTTATATTATATCTAATATTAAAATTTTTATTATTTTAATTAAACAATAATATCTTATTCTTCAAAGTATTTAATGCTGAAAATATATAAAAAATATATAAAAATTTTCGCCCTCTTCCTAAAGAAAAATCGATGCCGAAACGGTTGGGGAGTCCGTAGAGATGAATTTGTATACCGAGCACTCTTATCCTAGCAAACGGCAAATCGTCTCCAGGGTCTTTTGACATCGCTGTTGCTTTGCTTCGGCGGCGGAGTGCTTCTGTTCACGACGTTCCTGCATCTGGCACCGGAAGTGCGCGAGAGCGTCGAGAGGCATCAGTCGAACGGTCAGCTGCCGACTCTGGGCACCCTCGGTTTGGCAGAGTTGCTCTTCTGCGGTGGCTTCTTCCTCGTCTACCTGGTCGAGGAGGCGGTGCACGCCGTCCTCACCGGTAAACCCGAATCTTCAGGGGCGCTGCTCTACCGGACCGTATCGGTGCGCAGATGCAACAATAATCAGACGGGCCCATCGACCATAAGCGACTCAACTACCACCGTATCCACCACAAGGTCTGCCGCGTGGAAGGATCAGGACGATCACGAGGACAAGGAGAACCGGACGAGCTTGGAACGATCCAAGATCCAGCTCGATGAACTGCGCAATCATGTGGTCAAGGACGACAAGGTCCTGCCGGCTATATTCGTCCTGTCCCCCGCGTTATCGAACGAAGGACGTCAGGTCGTCGAGAGGCGTTCTGATCCAGAACTGGCGATGTCGGAATTGAACTACCCGCCAATTCGGCATCATCATCATCATCATCAGGATCATTCTCATCATCATCATCATAATCATCATCATGATCACAACCATCACCACCACCACCATCATCATCAACATCAACATGGCACGATGACGCAAAATACTTCGGTGCAAGGTCTGCTGACCGTGCTCGCGCTGTCCTTCCACGCGATATTCGAGGGCCTGGCGGTAGGGCTAGAACCATCCATCAGCTCAGTCGTCTATTTAGCGGCTGCCATCGCGACCCACAAACTGGTCATCTCCTTCTGCGTTGGGATGGAGCTCTACGTAGCCGGCGCGTCCACACGAGCCACCCTCGGATATCTATCCATCTTTTCTATGGTGACGCCGATTGGGATCGGGATCGGGTTAGCGCTGAGCCATTTCAAGAACGACAGTGAAAATCTGGGACCAACGCCTACCATATTGCAGGGCATGGCGGCCGGCACCCTGCTTTACGTGGTGTTCTTCGAAGTGCTGGCGCGCGAAAGGGCGAACGAGAAGAGCGGCCTGTTGCAGCTGGTCGCGATCATCGTCGGCTTCGCGCTAATGCTGGGCTTGCAGATCGCCAGTGAGTCCATTTCCCGGAAGAATAGCGCATCGGAGCGTAACGCGACCGGACGGGTAGATTTATTATTGTCATCATACACGTTTTCGCTTTTTCTCTTTGGCTTCTCGCGTGATTGCGGGAATTTCCGTGTGTCTTTTCAAACGCGGAATCGCATAAATTTATTGCCATTGAGAGTGAAAGTCCATTCATCAGGCGTCTCTTCCTCATCGATTTTCTCATTTCAGATCCGCGACGATATACGTACGTTGTTATCCATGAAGAGATTATCTTATCTTGGATAATTCATATCTTTTCATATTAAAATCACTGTTTACGACCAGCGAGCTTGTTTTTCTTCGTTATTTCTCAATCCCGAATATACTTGATTTTTTACATTTTATTTGAAATGAAAATGAATTTCTTCACGTATCGACGAGACTGTGTTTAGGAAAGATTCATCTCACAAAATGACAAAAGAATTCTATTCAGCCATCACGAGCTTATTGCAACAACAAAGGCATAAAAAGAATTTCGTAGTATAATTAAACCGAGGAATCTCTCTCTTGAGGTGAATGTGCAAAGCATTCTCTCTTTAAAGAGAGAGATCCAAAGATGCAGATCGATACGAAAACTGTCAAGTTGTATCGGTCAATCGTAATACGAGGATCTGCTATTTGTCATAATCGCCTCGAGCGTTTTCCTTACGTCATTCGTGTCCAGCGGATTATCTGTAATATAATAGTTATCGCCAAGCCGGTTTTGGCAGGATCGTTCGCCTCGGTGCAAACCTATTACGGGTACGCCCTTGATACACTTCACGTGTTAGTTCTCGTTTAATCTATCGATTTGCCGACAAACTTACAACTGAAAAGTCAGGGTCAGGGCAAATTTCGAAACGGAAACTGGTGGCAACATCCTCGTCGCATGCAACGATATTTCGTTTAGAGAGCTTAATGTCGAGAAAACATACATTTTATCGAAGCGTTATACTGTTAAACATTGATATCATAATCAAACGGACGATTTAATTAACAGACGAAAGATATTTGCGTATATATCTACGTATATAAAACGTTGAAATATTTCAACCTCGAAACGACGACTAGCGCTAGCTGATAAACTTTTTTTGATAATTGATGTCACTTTGTTGCGTTGTTATTTCGATTGAAATAAGGTTAATGGTTCTGATAAAACTGACGTCAAATAGATTGCAATAATGTGAAACGAATTATTTGTAGAATGCACGAAATATTTCTATTTTGTGTGCTCTTATATTAAAATAATGTCTCCGCTTCGAGATTTGTCGTCAAGAGGATTCGTATTTGTTCTAATAAATCGCTATCAATTTTTATTTCATTCTTAAATCGTGATCAATAAACATACGAAGTGTATTAAACATTGATGCACGATATAGTAAAAAAAAAAAAATACTACAAAAAATATTTAATCTCTCTGTTCGTGCAGAGAATATTTAAATTAAAAAAAAAAATGTCTATCAATTTCGAATATTTTCCGAGGAAATTCGAGATCTAATTTAAATACTATTGATGCGATGCTCGGACTACTTTCGTATCGGTGCATGTTTCGCGCGGACTTGAAAATTATCATTCGCACGCGCACGATGGTATATTACTTTAACATATTCAATAACGCTCGATAAATTACACGACTGTCATTTCGTCGAGAAAGTAACAGCAGGTAGGGAAGAGGTGGATCGTAATAACGATTACCTCTTCGCAAATACACTGCTTGTTATTACATAATCTTAATTGCATTCTGACCTTCTCACGATAGTGCGCAAACGCAAAGTTCAGTCGCAGTTTGAAACTTGTTGTTGTTTAATATTTTCTATTAACAAAGAAAAAAAGAGAAAGAGAGAGAGAGAGAGAGAGAGAGAGAGAGAGAGAGAGAGAGAGAGCAGAGAGAGTGATTTATTCTATAAAATAATATTAAAACGTAAAAATAAAAAAAAAAACATAAAATATATTAATATAATTTCAAATATTAATTAATATTCAGAATTATAGATATACATATAAATTACATAATATATATGAAAAATTATGTATAAAAATACACTTTTATTTATATGTATATATATATATATAATATAAAATATTATATACATAATATTAAATATTTTGTATATATATCTGAAAAAATTAAATTTACACACTCTCTTTATTCTAATACCTATTAAATTAACGGTCTATTGGAGCATTTATCCTATACGTATAAAATATACGAACTTCGCGTGTTAGTCCTACGTGACTGCGCGAGACGTGAACTTTTACACAACTCGCGTCGGCTGCCATATGATTGGCAAATTGCATGCGGCAACAACCCACTTCTTCCAAGACGCATCCTGCCATTTTTTTTTTTTTCACGTAACAAACGCCAGGAAGGAATGTCATTGTGTCATATTAATTCAAACAGCCGTCGCGTCAGTTTAAAAGACAGAATTGGATCGATCTCTCGTAAAAGATATCTGCCCGTTATGTATATCTTGAGGCTTTCTCTCTCCACCCAATGGCAATGACCCGAGAACGTGTAGGTCGATGGACGATCCGACCGACTTTCGACGGCTTTCTCAAACGCAGGTTTAACGCATTTCGTGATGACGAAATCGCAGCCGTTTGTTCAAGCGTCATCTGGAGAATTTTGTGTCCGCGCACGTCAATTACAAGGGAAATAAGGAGGACAGATGGGGAAGAGTGGAAACGGACGCAATCAGATGCACGACAAATTATTCACTCTATATATAACCGTATTACGAAAAAAACAATCTATTATTTCGAGAAGATTCTAATAATTTATTACCAATTAATATTATTGTTAGCCTAGATAATTGACAATATCGAGGCCAACTCACTGGTCATCGAAATCATCGGTCGCTATTATAGACATAGAGCTTTCCTTTAGACTTTAGACACTTTATTCGACGGAGCGATGCCGTACCAGGCCGTTATCGTTAATTAGGTACTTTCGACCAATACTAGTTGAGCCTAACGAAGCAATATTTAACGTCATTGTACCTTATACGACGGGTTATTTTGAAAACACATTTTCGAGAAAATTTACATAATTTTATTTATAATTTTATGTGTCACATGTAATATAAACAATACATATCGGGAAATACACACATTAAGATATGCCGCACATAAAATTGTAAATAGAATTCTATCTTGAAGTTTATCGCAATTTATAGATTTCCGTCTACAGGTTTAATTTTTTTATTAAAAAAATTAGAACTATACGATGACTAAAAATCGCCAAACGTCCGCACTTTCTTTTTATAGCCGCTCATTCGCACAGCCACGATCACGGCCAGGGTCACGGACATTCTAACGCGGAGGAGGAGGAGGACCACGACCACGATCACGACCATGAGCAAGATCACAAGCATCGCGTCGTAACAGAAGCGATCGACAAAGTGACCGATAGCATTGCCGAGGCCCTCTCCAACGCTCTCACATCTTCGACGACGACGTTACGGCCGAGGGATATCCACGAGACCAGCACATTGCATCCTCATCACAGTTAGGGATCGACATGCATTTCCGCGAATTCTATGCTTCACGGTTGGATCCTCTTCGGCAAGAGATTCAGCGCATCGAGGATCTCTCGAAAATCTCGACGGATCACGATGCTGTCTCTGCCAAGGAGAGAGAGACATTTTTCATCTATTTTTCCATCCATTTTGACAAAATGGAAATGAAACAGAGAGAAAACGAAACGGAGCCGGAGAAATGATAGATTTTTTTACATGCATGGATCTACATGTCGATTGTGATTGATTCTGTTCCGGACGTGATGTGACAACGGAAGATTCGTATTGCACGTTGCATGTTGTATGTAATATATATTCGACAAGAGAGAGATGTCCTTTTTTACCGCTGCTCCGATCGCGGAAACTGTAAAAAAAGAAGTTATGGATGCCCTGACATATTTCGACTTGACTTCCGAAGAGTTTCTCGCTCAAAGATTTGCAATGGGAAAAGACTTTCACGTACATGTACATATCTGTATTCGTTCCGACCTCGGTGCAACAGTTATTTTTTGTGTTTTTTTAGATACGATAATAAATAAGTGTTTAATTATGTATATTGTTTAAGTGCCTTTAACGAAACTTTTCACGCAAGTGCTGAAAATATTTATTAATAATATCGGACAGAGCGTTTTAGCATTTAAGCATTTTCTTCTCGATAAAAATACGTAAAGAAAGAAAAATACGGACGCTGAACTTGTCACGAGCAGATCCATTAGTTTCCTAATTATTCGACGGAACCAAATACGTCGTATTTGTATAAAAAATTTAATAAATTATAGCAATATTTTTTTATACTACAAGTGTCACATTTTTTTCTACCCCCAACAGAAATAAAGCATAGATCGATAGATCTTTTATACATACTATAATTTTTCAAATATTTGCCATATATTTTTTAGAGGAATCAATTTTTATATCAAACGGCAATCATATCGATATTATTTCTTGAAGAGTAATAAAATGTTTTTCAGCGAGACATTTTCTTTCTTCGCGATTAAATTATTATCTGAATAAATAAATTACGATGTGTGTGCGTTTTTCAAACTCGCTTCAGGATGAAATGCTTTCGTAATCATCGTCGGATTTCGCGTCGCGACTGACTATTGTTGGAAAGCATGCCGTATCATTGTCTGCGATGCAAAGAAACAATAGCGATTGCAACAAGACACAGCGAGGCACTGTACAGCAGTCGACTGTGTACATCCAGAATATCCTTGCCCTAGTGAGTGTTTTCCATCTGTGTTTAATTATGGAATGAGTGTTTTTTTAATAAAAATGTATTAAAAAAACTCATCACATATATACACATACATATGTCGCAAATTACTAATTTTCTATATTTTAAGCATTTATAATTCGTGAATTATAAATGAAAAATAAAGTCTTATCCGCTGAGTTTAGTTTCTGAACAAAAATGCTATTCGACGCTCAATGTGCTAAGGGAAAATTTATTCTTAATTGTTAGGGGTACGTAAGTAAAAGATAGGACAACGACTGTATAAAAAGCCTCAATAAAACGCTGTCATACATCTTTAACTTTCAATGTACGGGACATCATCTCTATTCTCTCTTTTTCTCAAAAATAAGATAATTTATCGCATAATTTCAATGCTTTATGACAACACATAATGTGTGTCGCACAGGATAAGATATCGAGATCCGAGCCTTCGTGTCAATCGCATTTAATTGCGATTGGCGAACAGGATGCGCTTCATGGTTGAAGAGCGACCCTCGAATGCGAAACTCGGACTTTCGCATTTCGCATGTGCGATTTTGATAGTATCGACGCATATTAGAGTTTCATTATTTATTTACCGCGTAATATAATTATTCTTAACTAGAACTTCTTTTATTAACGAGATTGACTTGTTAATCGTGATTGCTTGAGTATGCGAAACATTGCAACGAGTCGTTTGTTTGCATTCGTCGGGAGGCTTTATCTGACTCGGTACTTGCCTCGATTGCCCGAGAGTGCAATAGCACGCATAAATAAATGATAATAGCTTGACGAAACAAACATATTTCAGCGAAACGCGGCGGGCAATGAGGAGGGATAGTAAGCTGCCGTTTACTAGCCGTTCCGTTGCAATAAACGAGCTTTACAACATTTTCAATTTTTACATACATATTTTCAAATTCTCTTAATAAGTAAAGAACAAGAAACTTGTCTAAAGATTGTCGTGTCTTTTTAATCAGTTCTAGGATAATTTGCGCAGTTAATCGCAATAAATTTTTATACCGACAGGTTAAAATCTCGATATTATCTATATCTTATTTTTACGGTAGGAGTATATGAGAGATGCGGATGTCGATGGAATTTTCAGATAAGGTAAGTGTTAACATGCCTTTTTTTTCCTGTAGATTTGAATTTGTGTCACATACGGTTCATATATTCGTATATATTTATGGTGACATTTATCTACACAATGCATCCTTATGTGAATGCTGTACAGTTTACAAAACATACGACGCACGTATTTTCCGGAATTATCCGCAACTAAATGTAAATACATTCGTTCGATCCTTGCGATATTTTTTTCCGGAATTTCTCTAATAAGTTCACAAAGTGCGTGCATATTGCAAATATATCTTGCGTAATTAACAATTTATCAAATATCGGTAACATTGTCGGTGTGTCGAGGAGCAAAAAGTAGCAAATGCTTAACACATTCACTAGCAGACGAAAAAATTTATCAACACTGGAATTGCTGATAGCGCAAGTTTGTACAATATGATAATTCGAGCTTTCATGAAAATATTGACTTACATTTCTCATCCCCTTTTTTGTAACCTCTCATGTAAATACGTAATCACGTAAATATGAAAGTTTTGGTAAAAAGGATGATATACTTTCGTATAATTTGCGTCTGTAGAAATTTCAGTCAAAATTCAATATTATTTTAAAGTATCGTTTTGTTCAACACAATTTCTTTCCATAATAATTTAAAATACAAATTTGAAATTAAAAAAAGAGAAAACAGAAAGCATATAACAGAAACAGCCTACTTTTTCGCTATTTGCTTGTCGACAAACTCGAGATAGCTCGAGCCAATTTTGAGAAGTGCCACTCCAGTGCCGATACCAGCTATCGTACAAATGGTAGGACTTGGCGGCACTACAGAACGTATCACCGCCCACATCAAAACGGATCCCAAGCTCAATAATACCGCACCGGTAACACTAAAAGATAAATTCGACAAATAAGAAATATAATTCGATAAATATATTGCATTTGTGTGTATCATCAATGTTAGTTCTTACCTGTACAAAATTCTTATAGACTGTGGCGCACTTTTTACATGCTCACGTGTGTAGATATACGATCCGGTGCCAACTAGGGTACCAACCAATAAGACATTTGTAATGTCCCTTTTTGGAAATACTCTGAAAAGACAAACAGCGTTATTGACTGTCCTTTCTCTCGATAGCACAATAAAAACAAATCTTTATTTTTTTCATAATTAAATCTTTAGATACTTGAATCTTTAGAACTTTTGATTCTTCAATCCTCAAACTCTTACATCTCTAGTTTTTATATATTTGTTCCATTCGTTTTTCTACTCTCTGTTACATTATTTATTTACATGTTTATCTCGCTTCGAGAGACATTCTATGTCGATCGTACATCGAAGTACAAAGATACATCTATTTTGATCGCGTTAAGATCCATGACATCGAAGATTCATCTATCGCAACGACACGCAATAAATTGCATGTGATCGGAATTACGTAATAAGCGGAGAAGAGAGAGAGAGAGAGAGAGAGAGAGAGAGAGATTCGTCGTCAGGTTACACTTTGTTTCGACAATAATTAATCGTACATTACGTGTATTATACGCACGAATAATAGCCGGAATGTCCGTACGGATTGTCTACTTACTTGACGACGAGGCTCGGGTTCATGACATTCATGGACATCGCGGTATACGAGGCGGTGCCGAATGCCGGCACGTAGAACTTGGCGAGGCTGCATCGTGTGATAGGTTGCAGGCCGAGTTTCTTCATGATCGAACTACAATCGGCATCACCACTTCCATCCGCGCGGGCCATCTTCGTCAAGCGTTCCACGAGTGTCGAACTTGTTTAAAGATAATGTACAGAGATATGTAGACGTTGTCTCGACGCGACTTTGCTCCTATGCCTATAACCTATAACGTTGCGTAGAGCGTGCATACATGAGTCGCTGCGTTCGCTACCGCAGCGCCGCGCAGGCGCGAGAAAGAACCCACTAGCGGTACACAGTCGGTAACGTACCGGCAATCGCACATATATGATGTTACCGACGAAGTGAGAATGCCTGAATATATATGTTATATATAAAAAAATTGTGTTTTATATAATTATCCGCGCTTTTTTTTTTGTCTTCGTTTAGTCTGTTGTATGTATTAATAAAACCTGTATTTGTAGGAATTATTTATTAAAAAACACTTATAAATAAATAAATGTAAAGTCGATTTATAGTCCTCGCATTTGTATTTTAATTGGAAAATTTTCAAATAATTAGCAACGCTATTAACGTTTTTTGCTTCTTCGTTTCTCTCAGTTTGATAATTATTGGAATGGGACATACCTTGTATTTTTTGCATAAGAAATTTTGTACTTGCGAGAAATTTGTGATATCCAACAGTCGATGCTATGTATGTATGTATAACGGGTTGCCGCGCGTGTCTTTCATATCTAACAATAAGTAATTTATCTCAATTATTGAAGAAAAAAAATCCGCGTTATCTTCTTTCGCAATATTGTTTACTGCAAAATAATTATCTTAATTGCTTTTCAATAATTGTTTTAATTTTTCTTTTTTGATACTGTTAAAATCGTGCATACGTAATTCAAAAATAATAAACATCAGTTTTTTCTCTCTTTGCGAGATATATATAGTTTTGGACAGTGAGATCTTTTCACGTACAATATATAAATATATTGTAGAATAAAAAAAAAAGACTATCACATGTATAATTATTAGCACTAGTAATTGATAATTTTGCCCGTTTATCGTCTGCTTATATTATACATACTTTATTATGATTTATTATTGTTTCTTATGTTACGTATAAAAATTCAGTTCGATATACATTAGTTGTACATTATTCTCTATTTATCAAGAAGAGAAAAATCTCCTTTGCCGTCAAATATGTCAAGAAGACGTTGACACGATATTAAATTAGTCTCTCTATCGTGATTCGTCTATGAGTCTAATCGTCTTTTAACAGCTTCTCATGATATTTTTTCGCAAATATTTACATGTGCCGTTTAATTGTTCGTAGAAAAAGTACCAAGGTCCCATGGTGTAATGGTTAGCACTCTGGACTCTGAATCCAGCGATCCGAGTTCAAGTCTCGGTGGGACCTTAGTAGAGTTTTATTTTTGCCATTTCAACGCGAGGTTTCAAGTTTCGAAATTTCAATATCTTCATCTCTCAAACGAATTCCTGAGATCGCTTTTAATTACATTATTAATCAGTAACATGAAACTTTGTTACGTTACTGTTTTGTATTTTGCAAAAGTTTCTTCTCGGCGGATCTGATTTTCAAGCATTTGGCTGTCAGGGTGACTATCGTAACGACAGCCCCGACGAAGGACACTACTCCAAAGACCATCAGTACCGCAAACCAATTTTTGAACGTGCCGATTCTATTGTCGCATTCGTAATCGGCATCGGTGTCATTGAGGTTGAGAGTCGACAGGTTGACGGGTCTCAACGAGATTGATTTATATTTGCGCTTCGTCCCGGTGAAGTTTTGCTCCTTTTTGACAAATCGGTAGGATACGGCGTAAGTAAATCCCTGACCATCATAGGACCCTTTGGCGCTGTAGTACTGGATCAATAATTCGTTTCCGCTAGACGTCAAAGGTACTTGGATGTTGTTGATGTCCCAGTGAGACACATCGCAATAGGACCACATCAGGAAGCTGCCATTCACCTGCAAATTGTTGTCGATTTTTAAGACGCAGCCGTCTCGGAACTTGACAGAATAATCTCGTGAAAATAATAGATAAATTTAAAAATAAATTGGATAAGAAGTTATTTAGTAAAGATAAGAGTTTGTTAAATTTTTTTATTAATTCTTAGAATTTCATATTATTCAAATTGTTTAACCTTTTAAATAAAAAAAATCGGTCATATAAAATTATCGATTTTTCTTTTACTATTTTTCATTCATGTATCCATCTAATTATCAGTAATTAAGATGTATTTATCTGTGCATTATTAAGAGATATCAAAGATTAGAAATTGACTCTCGCAGGATGAATTTTTATAAACGCTTGTTGATTTGTATAACTTGAGAAAAGTGATTAAAATACAAATAAAAATTACCTGTGCTCCGTTATAAACAGTGATTTCATTCCCCGGGCAATAGTTGAGGCTAAAGTTTCGTTTATTGTTAGTCTCTGATTTTTCGTGGTCGAGCTCGTTTCTAAGAATCTTTATGTGAACGGAAACCTTTTCCGTGGTTCTACCGAGAAACTTGTAAGTGCATACGGTATTGGGCGGATACCAGCTCCGCGGAGATCTGATGTTCTCCCTGCTGTTACGCCGGGAGCTTCTGTACACAAACTCGCATCTCGCGTGTTTCGTTTCTTGCGAGACGTGTTCTTCCTGCAGGGTCACTTGAAAACCGTCGTGTGTCACAGTGCCGTCCTTTCGGGCGAAGAACTCCAGGATCACGTTCCTCCCGCGCGAATAGATACGCGGTACACGGCCGCTGCCGCAGAACTTGGAGATCTCGAGGATCTTCCCATTCACGTTTTCCAGCAGCGCGAGATAATCGCCGCCATCGCACGTGATGTTGTCCGATGGCGTAAGTAAATCCCTGACCATCATAGGACCCTTTGGCGCTGTAGTACTGGATCAATAATTCGTTTCCGCTAGACGTCAAAGGTACTTGGATGTTGTTGATGTCCCAGTGAGACACATCGCAATAGGACCACATCAGGAAGCTGCCATTCACCTGCAAATTGTTGTCGATTTTTAAGACGCAGCCGTCTCGGAACTTGACAGAATAATCTCGTGAAAATAATAGATAAATTTAAAAATAAATTGGATAAGAAGTTATTTAGTAAAGATAAGAGTTTGTTAAATTTTTTTATTAATTCTTAGAATTTCATATTATTCAAATTGTTTAACCTTTTAAATAAAAAAAATCGGTCATATAAAATTATCGATTTTTCTTTTACTATTTTTCATTCATGTATCCATCTAATTATCAGTAATTAAGATGTATTTATCTGTGCATTATTAAGAGATATCAAAGATTAGAAATTGACTCTCGCAGGATGAATTTTTATAAACGCTTGTTGATTTGTATAACTTGAGAAAAGTGATTAAAATACAAATAAAAATTACCTGTGCTCCGTTATAAACAGTGATTTCATTCCCCGGGCAATAGTTGAGGCTAAAGTTTCGTTTATTGTTAGTCTCTGATTTTTCGTGGTCGAGCTCGTTTCTAAGAATCTTTATGTGAACGGAAACCTTTTCCGTGGTTCTACCGAGAAACTTGTAAGTGCATACGGTATTGGGCGGATACCAGCTCCGCGGAGATCTGATGTTCTCCCTGCTGTTACGCCGGGAGCTTCTGTACACAAACTCGCATCTCGCGTGTTTCGTTTCTTGCGAGACGTGTTCTTCCTGCAGGGTCACTTGAAAACCGTCGTGTGTCACAGTGCCGTCCTTTCGGGCGAAGAACTCCAGGATCACGTTCCTCCCGCGCGAATAGATACGCGGTACACGGCCGCTGCCGCAGAACTTGGAGATCTCGAGGATCTTCCCATTCACGTTTTCCAGCAGCGCGAGATAATCGCCGCCATCGCACGTGATGTTGTCCGATGATCGGTCATTTCCGGGATATTTGTACTTTGATACCTTAATAAATTATACAAGATATATCTATCACAAAAGAGCAAATATAGATGCGGAAATATAATTAATAAATACGTAATACTCGCAATTATGTAATGATCAAAATAAAATTTAAAATCGAGTAATTGAACAATTAGAATAGTAATTAATAATAATAAAACTATTTAATTTTTATTGCAAATATACTTGTGCGTAAGTAATATAATTTGTACAGAAAAGTTATATTAGCGAAAGCTCGCTAATACCCCTCTTTTCTGCTTGAACGAGTTACTTACCGTCGTGCTACCGAACGTCTCATTCGGCCTTTCAGGGTCGCCATTGAGATAACGGTTCGAAACGACCCTCCGTTGGTCCTGCCTCGTTATCTTCGAACGCATTGATTTTATGCGAAGTCTCGGCTCGCTCGTGCCAGGCCTATTCGGCGGCTCTTTGTGATGATATTGCCTGTCTCCGTACCATCGTGTCGCTTTCTTCTCGTAGTGCCTCCGCCTCGTTAATTGTCTATTCGTTTCCGTGCTGCGTCTCGTTCGACAGTTGTGTTCGTTCCTCGATCGATCGTCCCCGATAATAGATTCATCCGCTAGGAAACGATCCCGGCTCCTCGTGACCCTCGCGAGGGCCGAGAATGACGATCCAGCGAGTCCCTCAGACTCTAGGGAGTCCTCGCAATCTTCTATTTGACAACTCTCTTGATCGCTGTAGTTCATCAAGTCGAAAAGGTCCTCCGGCTGACCGCCTATCCTGAAGCGACCGGCGCTCGACTCCAAAGCAATCCTGCATCTGTGTGTAAGAATAATTTCGATATACGACTGATATCGATGTAACCGATAAAAATTTAGCATTTCATTTTTCATTTTCATCTAACGTTCGACACTATTTGATAAAACGATAAAATTTATATGGGCGAATTTCTGATTCCGGAACTTCGGCAAAGATCAGCAACTTTATTAGTGATTCGTGCGCACCTAATTCCACGTGGATAGACGCTGGGATAGCCTGGCGAGGTCAGTCTGCAGGATCTGCGCTCGTTGCGTACGGTGCACTCCATAGGGCACGTGGGCGACGAGGATGATGAGTAACCGCGATGACGTTCGACCGCCAGGCGTGCTGGCAGGATGGAGAACTGCGCGGAGAAGACGACTGGGTTCGCCGATGCAAAATGCGCGTCCGACGACAAAGTGATAGTTAGATCCGGACCACGTCGCAGAAATAGCCTGCGTGAAAAACATATGTGATTTTATAATATCAGCGGCGAGAATCTGAGAGAATCAAGAACGAGACAAGATGTATGAGAAGAATAAAGTACCTCGTAACGTTCCCGGTCACGTGGCCGCAATATCGACCTGTCTCGTCGTCAGGATCGTCCGCGCTGTCCGAGAACTGAAAATACGCTCCCTCGCATCGAGCTTCCTTCAGGAAACCCACCTGCAATCTTCTGACCTTTACCTCAATCACCTACAACAAATTTAATTAATTATCGATTAATTTCGCTACTTCTTAATTACCTACTTCAATTCTTATGTTATTTTTTATTACTTGTATTTTCTATATTTCTCGATTTATTGTAAATTTTTTATATTATTATATAGATTATTTTTATTGCAAATTACAAATTGAAAAATTATGGTAAAACATCAGAAATAATTATAACAGTGATTTATGTTAAGTATTAACCTGTGGATCTCTTAAAGGCGCTCTAATTCGCACAATGCATCGGCCCATTCGTCCTGTCCAGCGAATCCAGCCGACCGAATTTCTGATAGTGCGATTGCATCCTATGTAATGCGAAAAATAAAATGCTATTTAGGGACCACGTCGCAGAAATAGCCTGCGTGAAAAACATATGTGATTTTATAATATCAGCGGCGAGAATCTGAGAGAATCAAGAACGAGACAAGATGTATGAGAAGAATAAAGTACCTCGTAACGTTCCCGGTCACGTGGCCGCAATATCGACCTGTCTCGTCGTCAGGATCGTCCGCGCTGTCCGAGAACTGAAAATACGCTCCCTCGCATCGAGCTTCCTTCAGGAAACCCACCTGCAATCTTCTGACCTTTACCTCAATCACCTACAACAAATTTAATTAATTATCGATTAATTTCGCTACTTCTTAATTACCTACTTCAATTCTTATGTTATTTTTTATTACTTGTATTTTCTATATTTCTCGATTTATTGTAAATTTTTTATATTATTATATAGATTATTTTTATTGCAAATTACAAATTGAAAAATTATGGTAAAACATCAGAAATAATTATAACAGTGATTTATGTTAAGTATTAACCTGTGGATCTCTTAAAGGCGCTCTAATTCGCACAATGCATCGGCCCATTCGTCCTGTCCAGCGAATCCAGCCGACCGAATTTCTGATAGTGCGATTGCATCCTATGTAATGCGAAAAATAAAATGCTATTTAAAAACCGTGTGTAATAGCAATAAATAGATATTTTGGATAAGATGAAATTCGGATTGATCGTTCAGCTACTCCCCAACAATCTTTCGTTCATTTCTCTTTGGCCCTTCCGTAAGACTCTCAGACCCTTGGGGTCTCAGAATCGATCTCGCTCAAATAAATTTATTTCGCAGAGGAGGACAAGACGTTGCGAGAAATGGTTATCGAAACGCCGCCCCCGGTATTTCCGATGACAACACGACCTTATTTATTCAACGACCCTCCACTGCACCGGACTGATGAAATTACTCAGAGTTTACCGGCTAATTAATTGCCATTGATGTCGGCGATCTCACTGAAATGAAGTTTCGTGTCCCGGATGCTTCTGTGTACTTCTCAACTCTCGGCTATATTTGTCATCTTAATTTTATTTTAATTTTACGCTTATATATCTCGTGTCTGATCGATATCGTTCAATTCTCGCATTCCACAACACTTTTGATTAAATTGCAGAACGCACGCATCGGGAATGTTAATCTTGAATACGACAAAAGCATATTATTTTGTGTGAATACAAGTAAAATAATATGTATATATAATCACATTTCTTTGTTGTCTCTTTCAATTAATACATATGTTTTTATTCCGATATATTTTTTCTTCGTTTTGTTTGTGATATAAATTGTATCATATATTTCTCAAGAAATGTACGTATATTTAACATCTACTACAATACGAGTAGTATACGACCATTGCAGAGGCTATCCATATCACAAACGCGTGACAATGCATACAATTAATTACATGAAGTATCCTCGGGCGATAGCTTCTGTATGCGACGGTCTTCTCGTTACGAGGGACATGAATAGTCATAAACTAACGACTCCTTTGATGCATCGAATACGAGGAAAACACGTGAGAAAGCGTTTATTTTTATTTCATTATCGCTATAAATAATGTATGAATTATTTCTATGCTCGATCTTGATTTTCGATCTTTTGTTTTATGTAACATAAAGATAGTCTCTCCCTCACTCCCCCCTTTCCCTCCCGCGCGAGCGGCGACCTTAACGATGGCGCTAAATACGTTGTCCCTCCATCTAGGCGAATGTTATTCCATTACAAAGGTGATTAACGTTCTTTCTCCATGAAGTTTCGCCCCTCGTGCTTCATTAAGCTAGGCAATTTCATTCTCGTCGAAGCTTCTACCGGGATTGCAGCTTCTCCTCTATCGAATCATCCACGAATCATCCCCGGTTATTCGAACATATTTGTATGATGATAAAAATAACGTCATTATATTTGAAAAAAGTTTATATATTTTTTTAAATAATTATTTTTTTATGAAGAAAATCATAATATTATCAATTTTTATAAACCGATAATATCTAATTTATTATAGCAATTAATTGACGAATAAACATTAATCGATTGGCAAACCTCTGATCTCGGCGGAAGCCCCCCACGAAGGATCATTGAACGACAGGATCAGCAGCGAGAGCAGGTACAGGGCAGTTTCGTATCTCATCTTCGCCGCGGTTTGTCCTATTTCACGTCCTCCCTGCGTCGTCTCGTCTTCCGGTTTTACTCATTTTCTCTTCATCTTCATCGTGAAGACCCACCACCCTTCATAAAGGCGACTGTCGAGAGGTACGTCTTATCTGCGAAATGAAAAACGATGACGCGACGTCGAAAACTTATCTCACGCGATTACGGCAATCATTAACTCTCAGTTATTCATCCTCTTCCTTGAATATATAAGACGTGAAATGGAAATTAATTTCAAACGATCATAAAGACGATGGAGACTGACACCGAGAATTAAGAGTTCGTAGTTTCCACCTCCTTTCTAATTCGTCTACTCATTTAGGATTCATTCGGCGTATCTTCTTCTCTCACGGGAGGAGACGAGCGGTGTAAAAATAAAAGGCTGAATCAAGTTGAAGGATGGCGGGTGGATAAGCGGGTAGAGAAGGAACCAAGGATATACATGTAAGCCAGACGCGAGCTTTTGCAACTCCGTGGAAACGAAAAATTCCAAAGTTCTTGAAGCCGTCTCGAAGGGAGACAAGTCACGGCCAGTGATCCCTTCCGAAGAAATGGCCCCGGTCTTTAAGAACTTCCCGAGATTTCTCTTTCTTTCTCTGTCTCTCT